ATTTCAATTTTTTTTAATAATTTAAATAAGCTGAATAAAAAATATTATCTCTCAAAAAAATTGAGATGTTTTAAGCCATTTAAGTTGGGAGCTTTGTTATGCAGCAAAGGCTCACCGATACACACTTATTTTAAAGTTGTTTTTTACATTTTTCAGAGTGACCAGTTTTTCTGTTTACTGCATCTGTTATTTCTCATCGTGGTAGTTCATTTCTTCATGCATATTGTAATTTTTTATGGAGACCTATCTGCAGTGAAGAATTTTGCCGAGGGCCTCTGTGATGCCTAGGTTGTAATTATAAAAGATCAGTTTTGAGTTTTCCACTGAATGAGTCCTAGCTATTACAATGGTCTGTACAAGTTATAATACTAATTTTGGGGCTGTAAATTTGCACTATGCAAGTGGTTTAAATTTGTATCTACGTGACAGAATATTTCCTGTTACTTTGGTTTGTTGGATAATTTTTCTAGATTCATTTTTCAGGAAGCTCTTTGTGGGTCTTACTATTATCATGAGACTCAATTCCACCTCCTCCGCCTCTAACCCCCATGAAGCCATAGCCTCTATTACCTAGAGGGTACTAAAACGTCAACTCTAGATTCCTAGAGCAGTTTTTGTTTTTTTTATTATTTAAAATTTTTTTTTAAATTTTTTTTAATGTTTTTATTTATTTCTAGGAGAGAGAGAGACAGCGTGAGCAGGAGAGGGTCAGAGAGAGAGGGAGTCACAGACTGAAACAGGCTCCAGGCTCTGAGCTGGCAGTCAGCACAGAGCCCGATGCGGGGCTGGAACCCACGAACCGCGATATCATGACCTAAGCGAAAGTCGGACGCTTAACCGACTAAGCCACCCAGGCGCCCCATATTATTTAAAAATTTTTAAAAAATGTTTATTCATTTTTAAGAGAGAGAGACACACAGAGGGTGAAGTGAGCGAGAGGCAGAGAGAGAGGGCAACAGAATTCGAAACAGGCTCCCGGCTCTGAGTTGTCAGCACAGAGTCTGATGCAGGGGCACGAACTCACGAGCTGTGAGATAATGAACGGAGCCGAAGTCTGATGATTAACAGACTGAGCCACCCAGGTGCCCCTTTTTTAAAAATTATTTTTTAAAAGTTTTATTTATTTTGAGAGGGAGAAAGCATGAATGAGGGAGGGACAGAGAGAGGCAGAGAGAATCCCACACAGACTTAGCACTGTCAGTGTAGAGCCCCATGAGGGGCTCCAACTTACTGTGAGATCATGACCTGAGCCAAAGTCCGACACGTAACCAACTGAGCCACCCAGGCACCCCTCCAAGGGCAGTTTTTAATTTTGGCTTCTGGAAATAGCTCTTTTCTTTGGAGCAGAGCTATTTAAAACAGATTAATTTTATTTTGTCCATCATTTCTATGTGCTTGTAATTCATGTTTGTTTCTTTCCATGTCAGGTCACTCTATCATGTTTCTAAATGTGTGGGTCGGATTCTGTAGCATTGATTAGTATCTGCTGAGTAACTGTTACAGATTTAGCATATATTTGTATTGCTCCTACTCTGTTTATTAGCTTCACTCAACCTCTAAAATTATGTCTTATCCTGTCTCCCCTGAGTAGTTGATATATTTTACTTGTGGGGAAGATATATTTTATTCTTTTTGTAATATTTTTAATATTTTTAAATATTCACTTTTAAAATGTATGATTTGAAAATAAGGTGGCTCAATGGGAGGTTTTAAGAATATATATGAGCTCTTAGGGCACCTGAGTGGCTGAGTCAGTTAAGCATCCAACTCTGGCTCAGGTCATAAGCTCATGGTTTGTGAGTTCAAGCCCTGCATCAGGCTCTCTGTGTCAGCATAGAGCCCTCTTTGGATCCTCTGTCCCCTTCTCTCTCTGCCTTGCCCCTGCTTGCACCTCTCTACTCTCTCTCTCCCTCAAAAAATAAACAAACATTAAATACACACACATACACACTAACTATTGAAGGAACTGTATCTCTCATCAAAACAGGGTTCAGACTTTAGAATGGAAGTGATGAGGTTTGTTTACAGTTTGTGAGAGTTGCCAAAATATTGAAGAGAATCTTTTTAATATGAATCATGCCATTGCAGGCACATAAGCAATTAGGTCACCTCTGTGCCCTGCTTTATATTACCTCAGAGTAGCTCTTTTTTCTTCAGTCATCGCTATGGCTACCAGCAGTGGCAGGTGAAACTTGACTGTACCTCATCTTAGCTGCCCTGTGAAGCTATTACTTTCTGCCCTGGCCTCTTTGTCACCTCTCTGGGGAGATGCGTGTGGGAACTCGTTCGGCCATTATGCTGCATGGACAAACCCAAAGGGAGAAAATGCTGACATCTCAATGGGCAATCCTTGACCAGGAAATACTGGTATCGAGGCCTGGGAATGTTATTCCCTGAAGTTCAGCGCATGGAGAGCACTGAGAAACTGCTAGTTGGTGGACGTGGACCCTACCCTTCAACCCAGCCAGCTCTCTGTTTCCCATTTTAAAAGCCTCTGTGATGTGTACCGGAAAATGTGTGATGAAGACCCACGCCTCTTTACTTATAATTTCAGAGAAGAACTCAAGCAAAATAAAAGCAACAATCCAGAAAAAGAGAACGACTGGGAGAGATCCAGACTATAGCTGCTGCTTCGGCAGCGAGCAGTTTTCTGGATGCTGCTTTTCACAGTGTTGAGTTGCTCACACGTGTACTCTGTGGTCTATGGACGGACAATAAAAATACGATTTCAAAAAAAAAAAAAATCATCCAATCTTTCAACCATAGGTGAACAATTCTGACATATTCTACACAGCATCTCAGAGTCTCCAGCAGGATCAAGGTCCACTTGCTCAGTAATGAGCAGTTTGATAACACACTCTTATTCCTTAGGATTACTGCCCCCAAGTTACATCCACCTTGTCATGGCTCTTCTTTTTTGGGATGAAACTCAGGCTAAGACAATGAAACTGACATGTCATGGAATAGTTAGTGAAGAGGCCTAACTTCCCTGAAGGAGAGTTTCAGCTTCATCAACTAATTCACAAATCTTATTTAGAAACATTGGTCTGTGAGGAAAAAAATCAGCCCAACTCAAGAGTAGGGCTTTTAGGTCCCTGGAGAGATCTCTAGAAAGACAGCTTCAATTCTCATGGTGGAATCTTTAGGTAACAGCTGCCAAAGAGGGTTAAATTGGTAGGAAGAGGTAGCAGATAGGCTGGCACCACAGAGTCAAAAAAATAAGAACCTACATGAACTTCAGAAGAAACTACATGTTGTTCTTCCATATTTTGAGCTGTGTATTCTCAATTGCCCTCTTCTTCTTTTTTTTTTTTTAATTGAAAAGAGTGCATTTTGGTATGGTTTAAAAGATGTGTTATAACCATGTGGGCCCGATTAATAATTGACTCAACTTTCTGGTATCGAGTGTGCAGGCTAGATGACTAATAAGTCCAGAATGCTATTCAGTAAAGCCCATTTTTCTTCTCCAGATAAACCAGCATGTGACAATAGACACTCAGGAAGTTGAGGCCAGAAGGAATAAAATGTTCCTTAGACACTATAATCCTGGTTGTATTTTCTGCCTTGACAAATTTGCTGAAAGTAAATTTCTCTATAAGCCAGGGAATTTTTTGTGCATCCCTTTCACAGTGGCTCTGATAAGACCAGCTCATAGTAGAGGATACTGGTTTGACTTTCATCCACAACCTTTTGGGGAGTTATGCCCAAAGGAGGTGGAACAGACACTTATGAAACAGAAATCTTGTCTATCTGTTAAGTAAACATTTATTAGATGGACTGGTATATAAAATTTATCATATCAGGAAGAGCATGACTTAGTTCAAGCATAAACAAATTGTTATGTAAATAAGTGGTAGTGGAAACAACAAGAACAAATTATTGTAAGAATATACTTGAGCTGGTCTGGATACGGGAACTAGGTACTTTCCACACACCATTTCTGGTTCTTAGAACAACCTTGCAAGGTAAATATGATTCTCCTGATTTTCTACGGGAAGAAATTGAAACTCAGAATTCTGCACCCAAGGATATACAGCTGGTAAACAGCAATGCCTGGATTAAAATAACTAATCATCAGGATCACGATTGTTAAGATTGATGGCATTTATGTCTACATACTGATGATCACATCTGCAATGATGACCTTCCATATGTTGTTTATTCCAATAATAACTCCTTGAGTTAGTCGTATCATGCCCATTCTATATATGAAGAAAGTGAATTTTGAAGGTTGAAGGGCTCCAACAAAGTCATACGATGGGCATGCAGCAACTCTGAAATTTTAACTGGGACATGAAGTGTTCTACTGCCTTCACCCATTCCACTAAGGCTCTGAAAACAGATTTCTTTTTTGAAAGGCAGAAATACTTTTATTTGACAATCAACAATTAGTTCTCATCCACATTAATGGTCTGTAGATTTTTTAAAGTGGTGACAGGTACATAGATCACCAACGTATAGAGCTTGTTTGGTGAATCTTTATCCTCGTTACGTTTTCTGGACAACCACACATGGATACGGTATGGAACATTCCTTATTCCTTTGGCCCAGACCCCTTTTTTGAGCCTGGTGTCAATGTGCACATCTGGGGTTCCCATCTCCTTCATCTGGGGTTCCCACCTCCTTCATAGCAAACTTCAGGATCTCTTTGAATGCCCAAGGGTCACGCTTCTTGAACCCCACTCCATGGATGCGCTTGTGAATGTTGATGGTGTATTCTCTGGTCACTACCTCGTTGATGGCAGAATGGCCCTTCTTCTCGCCACCCTTCTTTGCAGGAGCCATTCTGCCAGGCCCGGGGTTGGAAAGGAAGCTGAAAACAGATTTCTTGTGCCCTGCCCTACACCCGTCTCAAAGGACATGTTTCTATCAAGCATGTGACAGGGTAAGTTCCATTTCCCAAGGGTCTGACTGATGCTGCTCTCTTCAAGGAACTGCTAACATCTCTAGTTTAAGCAATGTGCAAAATAACTGATGCAAATAAAATCTCTTCCCCCAAGGCCTCTCTTATGCACGGTTCATTCTCTGGAATAACAAGACCAAGTGGTGTTCCTGCAGGGTGAACCCATGACATGTTGGTAACTTCAGTGCCTCAGCCACTGAAGCAAGATTTAATGGAAAATAGACACATTTTATGGTAAGTCAGTTTCATTTCTGAGAAATCTTCACAGAGTGTCTAAGGAACAGTGACAAGATGTGAAAATAGATTGACAGTTGTTTCAAATGTCTACTATTATATTCTCCTTCCTTCTGACACAGCATGCTTATTAGTTAGATAGCAGAATTCTAGATCTTCAGGATTAAAGGTAGAGAGAAATAATTTTATGTGTAGGTTGCATAGCAGCTTTCTGGGTTTTAGCAAAGTATCTTTGACATTTTTGCATTCAGAGAAGGACCTAAGAACAGTATGAAGGAGGGAAGCAACAGTCTTGTTTTTTATTTCTAGAGTTAGCAACAAGGTGTCAGATAATTTCCTTATTTTCTATTTGGATTCTCAAGGCACCCAGCCCCTCCTTTAATGCTCACCAGTTAAACTGTCTCACCTAAATAGAAAGCATGACTTTTGTTGTGAGTTCCTTAAAATAAATCAAAAGCCTGGTATCTAATTCCTAAATAGCACAACAGTACAGCGACATAACTCTACAGCACACACAAATATAGGTTTTTTACACATTTGTATACATGAATGAAGAAGAAAATGCATGGATAGAAATGGGATCCATTACTAACTAACTGTACTATGTTGGTCAAGCTCTTGGCATCTGTAAACAGTTTCTATGTCTGCACATTGGGGTTATCTATTTTTAAAGCCTTTAAAATTTTTCCATTTAGTGTAGGATACACAAACATAAGATCATACTATAGATGATACCCAAAGAGAAAAGATGAGGAATTCCTCCTTACAAACTGCTAATTTATGATAAATTTTTATTCCCACCGCTATGTCTCTTATGGTTTTTTATTTTTCTTCATTGCCTTTCCTCCTAACTTCCTGAAAATCAATGACGGTGGGTTACTGTTATTAAGCAATCTCTTTAAGAGACCCTTTCCCAAGAGGGCAATCTAGTCGGCCCTGGTTAGCCTTTGATTTGACAGTGTCACTAGGAAAAAAGAAACCAATCTCTCTCAATGATTTAAGAAGTCCAGACTCAAGAGTAAAAGAGCAAGAGTTGATCTGATTTTACAAATCCTCTAAAGAGAACTGAATACAAGTTCACAAGGAGGTCTTTCATAGTCTAATTTCTTCTTGAATCCCAAGTAAGAGGAGAGTGTGTTGAACCTAGTCATGTAAAAGGAAAAGTAGGCATAAAGCCGGCATACTCTTTCCCTGTCCTTCAAGAATTAAGAGGCAAGGGAGCACTTGTATTTGACAGTATCTTCCTTAAGTAAGGTACTTACTATGGTAGAGTATATGTAAAGAAGACCTTATCTTCTTTCGTCTCCCTATAGAAAGGCTAGGTTCAAAGTGGTTAAATATCCCAAAAATAGCAAGACACTCATGGAGTAAGTCAGTTCTAGTAAGTCTAGTAAATCAGTTCTGGATGTATATCTTTTTCTGTCCTACTCTGTTGGTTCCACTGTGCTAATAGAAGCAGGGGGTGGATGCTTTAGGATGTTGACAGTGTTAGGTTGTTTTTCTAGTTTTGACTTCAAGGATTTGAGCTGAATCAGTAATGTTTTATAATGAAATTCTATTAAAAATAGTGCTAAAAATAATGTTATGGACAATTTTTATTAGGAATTGGTACCAGTTCATTGTACCTATCAATTTTTCATGGTTTTATAAGTAAATGTACTTGAGAAGGTGAGAAAGTAGGTAGGTATCTATAACAAGAGGGTTTGGGGGCCCCAGGACTATACATCCACTTGGAAGCAACTTCTAAAAACAACCTCCAGACAGGGTACAAAATGCATCATTGATAGAAATGAAAACATGTCCAGGGCATCTGGGTGGCTCAGTTGGTTAAACCTTTGACTCTTGGTTTCAGCTCAGGTCACGATCTCATGGTCTGTGAGTTCCAGCCCCACGTTGGGCTCTGTCTGTACAGAGTCTGCTTGAGATTCTCTCTCTTCCTTCCTCTCTGCCCCTCCCCTGCTTGCACTTGCTCATACAATCTCTCTCTCTCCTTCTCAAAATAAATAAACTTAAAAAAATAAAATAATAAATAAAGAAATAAAAACTTGACCTTTCCCCAAACTTCTGAGGTAGTGAAGTCAGTGATGACAAGGTGTCATCTACACCACATTTTCTTTGGTTCTAATTAGAACATGTTGGTTAATATTTCTGAAAATCAAATTACAATTGGACTGTTGGTGTCTTTATAAAAGCCACTCTCTGTTAGAGTGAACTAGTGTCAACCACAAGAACATAGCAATGAAAGAAAAGGTGTGGGTAGACCTTTTTTTTCCCCTTTATTTTTACAATTTCTATTTCCAGATTGCTCAATAACATCTGCTGGTAACTGAAAACTCAGCTAAGAAAATTGAAAAAAACCTCACTATTTATGGCTTTGGAAACATACTGTGAATAATTCATTTCTGAACACGCATTTCCAAGGCATGCCAGGACATCATCTCAGCCTGCCTGGTTCCCCTATTCCTGTAAATATTAAGGGCGGGTTCTTCCTTTTATAGGTTTTGTCTGTCCCTTTACCTGCAACTTACCGAAACAAAATAAGTATACTTTAGAGGAACTACCAAGTGTAGTTTGAATTTGATGTTTCTATTAATATTTTTTGCCATACCAGATGAAAAGTAGACACACTGCTCCCTTCTTTCCTTCCGCTCTTCCATCTTTCCCTTCTTTCTTAAAAAAAAAAAAAAGCCTTCTACTTTTTATTTATATCAAAGACATATATATGTAAAACTTAAAGAGGCAAATAATAATGAAAAACACCAATTCCTTTTCTTTTCTGCCCATCTTCTTTTCTCCAAGGAAACTGCATTCACCAATTATTTAGCAGCTGAATTTGGTGTTTACCTTTTCATTTCTAAATAACATGCTTATTTGGCTACTTCTTGATTTTTCAGTTTTATGCATTATCTGTCAGGTTCTTACTGTACAAAATGAGGATTTAGTTCTCTTCCCCCCCCCCCCCCCCCCCCCCCCCCCGCCCATCCCCATCACACCCATGTACCCTCATCCACTCACTCATCTTTCCACTCCGGTTATTTTATCATTTTGTTTGATTAGTATTCAGTTTTCAAATTATTATAAGGAATAGCTACAGGTTTGCCATGTAGTAAGTTATGCTTAATTTTTCTTGCATATTCTGTTGTTAATATCAAATGTGCATCACCTTATTTATGCCTGCTGGTCTGAAGTAATAAATAATAATTCCCACTCTCACTATGAGCATGGGTCGGCTCAGAAACCACTATTCCACACAAAGTCTTTGCCAGCTACTGGGGTATTCTAACCATGATATTGTACCTGAGGAAATTTCTTCCTGACCCTTTTAACTACTCAAATTGGCACTGGATGTCATCCATGCCAGCGCACAGCTGTCATTCTGGGATCCCACTTTATGTCATCTGAATAAATCCCTCAGCCCTTTCTTATACTGATATCCTTTCCCTGCATTATGCCTTCCTCTTTCTTGACTCATTCCCTCCTACTACTGGGCACAGAAGCTTCTACTTTCCTCTATCAACACTTCTATAACTTTTGATTTTTTTTTTAAGCACAATAACCTATGCCTGAAAGAAGAGATTAAATGAGATAACACTTGACTTTTTATAAAATCCCAACACCATCTTTTTTCTACCTTCATCCACCTTTGCTTCTGTCCATATTTTCCGGCATGAATAGATGGCCTCCTGAGAGTTAACATCCTGGAGGCCTGCACAAAGTCAAGCTTCCTTTGTTGTGGATACATCCCAGAGCAGCTGGGAGAGATTATTACAGACACTACACCAGCAATGAGGTGGTTTTCTCTCTCCACGGTTCTTTGGGGAGGGCATGTAATCACTGAGCGCTGTGAACGGTGGGGTGGAAATCCAATCATACCAACTGGGGCTGAGGGTGTTGTCCTATAGACCTTCACTGAATATCTGGTCCTTAAGATAAGGGGGCTGGCTTTGAAAGCCACTTTAAAAAAAATCAGGTGCCTGTATTCCTGTTAGATATCTAGAGACATTCAGAGGCAAATGAAATTTCTTTCTTTTTTTTTTTTTTATAGCAGATAGTTTTAGTCATCTACATGTTTTCATTTAGAATTTAGAACAGAGTCAAAACTCCTGAATACAATGTGTGTTCACTGTTTTGAAGTTTTTTTTTTAATTCACATCTTTTAATATCAATGATGTTATCAGAAGTGTTTCTTTTTTTTTTTACAAATAGTTTATTGTCAAATTAGTTTCCACATAACACCCAGTGCTCATCCCCACAAGTGCCCTCCTCCATGCCCATCCTCCCTCCCCCCCACATCCATCAGTCCTGTTTTTGTCAGCATTCAAGAGTCTCTCATGGTTTGCCTCTCTCCCTTTCCCCCACCATTTCCCCCTTCTTCTCCCCCTTGTTCCTCAGTTAAGTTCCTCCTAATCCTCCTATACGTGCAAGCATATGATATTTGTCCTCCTCTGCCTGACTGATTTCGCTCAGCATAACACCCTCAAGGTCCATCCATGTTGCTACACATGGCCAGAGTTCATTGTTTCTCATTGCCATGTAGTGTTCCATGGTATAGATAAACCACATCTTCTTGATCCGGCAAATGAAATTTCTTGAATATGTAATCTAATGATTATAACAAAACTATTGTGCTCCAGGAAATCTCTTTTTCTCTTTTTACATTGTATTTTAACTTTTATGAAAATAATTGTGTACATAGTTTAAGATGTCCAATAGCTTATGATGAAAAAAGCAGTTACTTGCTTCAACTTTTCCATTCCATGAAAACTATATCTCAGAGGCAATACCACATTCAAAACTTTGTTTTCCTTTTAAAAAGATAACACACTTTTACTTCTCTTTCTTCATTTTCTAGTTTACATTTTGTCTAACCATTTCCTACTTAGAATATTAGGATTTATTGTCTTTTATGTGATTTCACTTTTCTCAACACACTCTTCCCATTCTTCTCCATTCCCAATATATTTAAGTCACATTTTTTGGTTAGGTCAATGTCCAGAATTTACTCTACTATGGCTATGCGATTCTCCATGGCTTTTTTTTTCCCCATTTCTGCACATTTTATGACTGAAGACACTGACAGCTTTTGTTCCAGACTACCATTTAAAAAAAATTTTTTTTAATGTTTTATTTACTTCTGAGAGAAGGAGAGACAGCATGAACAGGGGAGGGTCAGAGAGAGAGAGGGAGACACAGAATATGAAGCAGGCTCCAGGCTCTGAGCTGGCAGTCAGCACAGAGCCCGACACGGGGCTCAAACCCATGAACCGTGAGATCAGGACCTGAGCCGAAGTCGGACGCCTAACCAACTGAGCCACCCAGGCACCCCTCCTTAATAAGACTTTTAACAGAGTTACCTGTGTAGCTCAGTTGGTCTGACTTCCCCTCAGGCCATCCTCTCATGGTTCATGAGTTTGAGCTCCACATCACACCCTCTACTGTCAGCACAGTCTGCTTCAGATCCTCTGTCCCCCTCTCTTTGCCTCTCCCCTGCTTGTGCACTCTCCCTCAAAAATAAATAAAACATTAAAAAAAGACTTTTAACAAATTCTCCTGTTTTCAGCCCTACTTGCGAACCTAGTGCCTCTATTGATGGATATGTTCTGAGTATCTGTGGCATGACTCCACTTGCTTAGAGTTGGGATTTTTCTTCTCCAGGTACTTAGCAGAGCAGAGAAAGCTGAAACATACACCATGTACGACTAAGTTTTCAGCTTTCCATCTTCCACTATTTTGTGGACGGTAATTGTCTGCTATCATCACCTTTTCTTTCTTCTCTGGTTTAGTGAGATTATGCCCTCAAAGAATTTTATTTGGTTATTTTAGTGAGGTTTCAGGAAAGAGCAAAGAGAAATGTTTTTTTTTTAAATTTTTTATTTTTGTTTTTCTATCTGCTGTAATTAACAGGAAGACCTTTAATCACCTGAGCTTTCTTTGAATTGAAGACTAACTTCCTGAGGGTGAGGAAATAGATGTTCTGTGCAATCATCTGGCACAGACTCCAGGCCAATTCTAAAATTCCATTATATTAGGAAAGAAGAATCTTTAAAAGGTGGTTTTTTTTTTTTTTTTTTTTTTTTTTTCCCGGAGAGGGGGCTGCCTTGGTGGATCAGTCAGCTAAGTGTCCAACTTTGGCAGAGGCCAACCTCATGGTTTGTGGGTTCAAGCCCCACGTCAGGTTCTGTGCTGACAGCTCAGAGCCCGGAGCCTGCTTTGGATTTATGTGTCTCTTTGCCCCTCTTCTTTTTTTATTTTATTTTATTTTTATTTTTTTAATGTTTTATTTATCTCTAGGAGAGAGAGAGAGAGAGAGCATGAGCTGGGGAGGGTCAGAGAGACAGGGAGTCACAGACTGAAACAGGCTCCAGGCTCTGAGCTGGCAGTCAGCACAGAGCCCGACGCGGGGCTCGAACCCACGAACCGTGAGATCATGACCTAAGCAAAAGTCGGATGCTTAACCAACTAAGCCACCCAGGCGCCCCATCTTTGCCCCTCTTCTGCTCATGTTCTGTCTCTCTTTTCTCTCAAAAATAAATAAAAGTTAAAAAAAAATTTTAACTCAAAAAAGGTAGAAATTATTTCTTGGATACTGATATTTTTTAAACTGAACTCTTTTTGTGTTGTGTTTTTCATTCTTGTACTGCTTTTTCTTCATATACAGCTGACGTTTGGCTAAAATGGGCAGAGGAAAAATATTCTGCTCTTGGAATGCTTTTACATTCCACATGCATTTATAACAAGATAAAACTTTCATTCTATTTCAATACAATGGATAGAAATAACCTCCTCATTTTTCTTTTATAATTTGTTTGAAATAAATAGAGAAACTACTGACATGTTTAGAAGGGCTTTTTAAAACATACATTCAACCTTAATTTTCACCTCTGAGGAAAAGGTCATTAAGTCTCTCGTTCCCTAATTGTGCACTGGGGCAGTCCAGTGGGGCTACAGTGAACTCACAGGAGCTATATGACGTGTTTTAAAATTTCAAGGGAAATACAGCAACATCTGTTGGCCACCAAATGAACTGCTAGCTTCAGGTAGCTTACAATTTCAACCTTGGATTGTGGTACATTGGTTTTATAACAGACGTATCTTTGTGAAGCTGAATGTTCTGAAGTTACTGTGATAGAAAGCAGATGGCACATGAAAATCAATGTGGAACAGGAAATGAGGCTATGGTTTCTTTTTTTTTTTAATTGTTAAGTGTTTATTTTTGAGAGAGAGACAGAGACAGAGGATCAGTGGAGGAGGGGCAGAGAGAGAGAGAAAGGGAGACACAGAATCCGAAGCAGGCTCCAGGCTCTGAGCTGTCAGCACAGAGCCCAACATGGAGCTCAAACTCACGAAATGTGAGATCATGACCTGAGCCAAAGTCGGAAGCTTAACCAACTTAGCCTCCCAGGTGCCCCATGAAGCTATGGTTTCTAATCTGATTCCAAAGTCTGAGTGTACAGTGCCTAGATTAGTCAGGGTTCTCCAGAGAAACAGAGTCAGTAGGATGGATGGATGGATGGATGGATAGCTAGCTAGCTAGCTAGATACACACACACACACACACACACACACACACACACACACACAGAAAGGGACATAGTATGAGGGACTGGCTCATGTGATTTTGTAAGCTAAATAATCTCACGATCTGCCTGTCTGTAAGCTGGAAGCCCAAGAAATCTGGTGATAGAGGTTGAGTCCAAACCTGAAGGCCTGAGAATGAGAGGAGCCAATGGTGTAAATCACACTTTGAGTCTTAAAACCCAAGAACCAAAAGTGCTGATGTCTGAAGACAGGAGAAGGTGGATATCCCAGCTCAAGCCGAGAACGGAGAGCAAATTTGCCCTTCCTCTGTCTTTTTCTTCTATTTAGGCCCTCAACAGATTATATGATGCCCATCTGAACTGGGGAGCGCACTCTTTTTTACTAATCTACAGATTTAAATGCTAATCTCTTCCAGAAAAACTGTCAGAGACACACCCAGAAATAATGTTTCACCAGCTCTTTGGACATCCCTTAGACCTGTCAAGTTGACACAGAAATTAACCAGTATAGTGCCCAACAGGTACATGGACCTCACTGGTAAGTATAGTGATTATAAAATGTGTCCAAAATTATCTGATAGTTTTTCTTCTAAGAGATGGAGACTAATTTTTCTCACTTAAAAATTTTTTTTAAATGTTTTATTTATTTCTGAGAGAGAGAGAGAGACAGCGTGAGCAGGGGAGGATCAGAGAGAGAGGGAGATACAGAATCTGAAACAGGCTCCGAGCTAGCTGTCAGCACAGAGCCTGATGCGGGGCTCGAACCCACCAACTGTGAGATCATGACCTGAGCTGAAGTCAGACACTTAACTGACTGAGCCACCAAGGCACCCCTAATTTTCCTCACTTGAATATGGGCTGGATTCAGTTACTTGCTTCTAAAAAATCAAATATGGCAAGAGTGATATGGTGTGTGGCTTCCAAATCTGTGTCATAAAAGGCATTGCAAACCACTGCTTGCTTTCTCCCTTGGATCACTTGTTTCTGAGGAAGCCAGCAGCCCCATTGTGAAGACACTAAAAGCAGCCCTATGAAGGTGCCCCCATGGCAAAATCCCAACAGGGAACAGAAGCTTTCTGCCAATAGTCATGTGAATGAGCCATGTTGGAAGTGGACCTTCCAGCCCAACTTGACATCCTGACTGTAACCTCAGGAGAGATTCTGAGACACAGCCACCCAGGTGAGCCCCTCCCAAATTCCTGACCCACAGAAACAATTAGAAGATAAATACAGTTGACTCTTGAACAACTCAGGTTTGAACTGCGTGAATCCACTTGTATATGGCTTTTTCTCTGATGCAGTACAGTACTGTAAATGTTGTTTCTCTTATGACTTTCCTACTGATGTTTTCTTTACTCTGGCTTACTTTATTGTAAGACTGCAATATAACATTCAAAATATGTGTTAATAAACTACATAATTGGTAAGGCTTCTGGTCAGCAGTAGGCTATTACTGGTTAAGTTTTGGGAAAGTCAAAAATTAATATGTGGCCTTTTGATTATGTAAGGGGCCTATATCCCTAGCCCCTGTGTTCAAGGATCAACTGTACTTGTTTTGTAAGCCACTAAATTTTGGGGGTAATTTGTTAAACAGCAACTGATAATTAATAACTAAGTGTGGAATAATGAATGAAATATTTTTTTCTTTCTGTTTATATGTATTTTTCTCCCAAATAGTTACTAAGTTGTTAGAACCTAAATACTTCTTAAGTTGATAAATCTAACTAGCTAATGAATAGAACTTTGACTATTTATTTTGGCCTGCAACATCATGAAAAAGTTACTGAGACACTAAGTGTGTACTGACAAAGTTAGAGAAATCATCATTAAATTAAGGATAGTTGCCAAATTATTTTTTCCTTTTAATTTCTTTAATCATATACATAATTGTTACTATTTTTGGAGTGAAAAAGTTTATGACTTTTGATTATGAACACATTTTTTATTTATCATGTCAGTAGAGCCATGAAAATGGAGAAAAATTACATGTAGAATTAAGGCCTCTCAAGAAAAATGATCATTTGTGAGTAAATTGATGAATATTTAATAAAAATAAATGAAATTATTGTTTTATAGATATCAATTATATCCATAGTTGGGCTAATATAAAATTTGGGGATAAATTAACCTGTACATACGAAGAAGAACGGAAATACTAGCTTATGGGTATAGCTGTATGTGCCTTCAGTGCAGCAGTATGTTCACTGTGAATACGAAGAGAAGAAGCACCCCCTAGTGGTAGTTGTTGATATAATTCATGACAGAAAAAACACAAGTTCTTTTAAGTTGGGTCGGCATGTAAGGTACTTATCTGTTTACTTCATTGACAGTATTAAACCCGTGGTTATGACTTTGTACTTGAAGGTTTTAGAAGGCAAGCACAACACCCATAATTTTGTTTGTTTGTTTTGTTTTTTTAGCTAAATTCAACAGTATTGGATAGCTTTATTTTATATGGGAAAAACAAACTTTTCATGTTAATACATTTTAAAAAAAATTTTAAATGCTCATTCATTTGGAAATAGAGGGAGACAGACAGAGAGAGAGAGAGAGAGAGAGAAAGAGAGAGAGAGTAAGTGGGATAAGGACAGAGAAACAGAGAGAGAGAATCCCAACCAGGCTCCGAGCTGTCAGTGCACAGACTGATGCAGGGCTTGATCCCGCAAACTGTGAGATCATGATCTCAGCTGAAATCAAGAGTTAATGGTCAACTGACTGAGCCACCCAGGTCCCCTTCATGTTAATACATTAAAAAAAAGAAGAAAGAAAGAAGGAACTTGATGCTGTATGAATTTTTTTTCAAAGCAGATTATATCAGCATTATGTAAGCAACTTACACACATAAGGTGCCGTTTACATTTGGATTAAATTGGTTGTAAAGTAGCATCTGCCAACTCTCTTGTCCATGAAGTAAACAGATATTTAAAACACTGACTAAATACTTAACTATGCAGAGGATTGTAGGAAAAGGAAGTGAGAAATTCAGAAAAGGGAACAGGTGTGGTGTGGTTCTGCGGATGAGGGGGTTCTGTGGATGCCATGGGCCCCTGTGAAGAGCACCTCACGTGGGCCCGAAGGAACAGACCAGGCCTCCAGAGGAAGAGGCATATAAAGCTGTGAGTAAGAGCTGACCTGGTAAAGTTGGTTTGCTATTTTGATTTCTCCTAGTTTTACAGAATGACAGTTTTGACAAACTGTTGCTTGGACTAAATATAAATTGCTCTAACAAAAGGGTAACAACCATGCATTGTGGATTTGCTGATTACTGTGTGTACTTGTAATGCGAATATCTGTTCTACTTGTTTCAGAGAACTATGATATTAGCACCTCTCAGAACAATGAGTCATTTTTCACTAGAAGACTTCTCCAAGTGTTTACTTAACCTTGTCTTCAGAATTGCTACCCATCTATTCTCTGAGGGTTATTAATAATTTATGCCATGTGAATAGAATAAAGGATGACTAACTTAGTCCACAGTGCAGTTAACAGCCTAATTTTAAACATGCATGATGACCTAAACTTATTTTTAACAAGAATTAATAACAAGTAGTTTACACTTTTGTGGAAAAGTGTAGTTTGTAGACACATATGAACTTGGTGTGATTTTAAAGCCCAACAGCATGTTTTTTAGGGGACCAATTTAGCTCTACAAATGTCTGTTTCCCACAACACACTGGAGCTGTGTTGTACCCCGTGTTCATGGAGAAGTCAGCAGGAAACACAGGCAGCCAGGACAGTAGAAATAAAATTATTAAATGAAAACCATATTTTTACTCAGTTGATCAAAGAGAAGCCTTAAAAGTATTATATTTAGCTTTACTTAGATAATGATTAATAGGATAGAAAAATAAGTGACTTTCAAACATGTAATTACCTATTTGTTCCCAGTTATTTCTTTTAATCATGAATCAGAATTCAAAATTCTTTAAGGTAGGTAGATTGATTGCATTACAAGTACTTGTTCAAAACATCTTGGGCAATGTCAGATGAGATCTAAAGAGAGTTTATATTCTATGTATTCTTTTGGTTGCAGTTGAAGAAATCCAATTCAGCCTTATTTTAAAAAAAGTTGACTTACCAGCCTGTGTGACTGGAGTGAGGAGGAACTGGCATCAGGTGCAGCTAGCTGGAAGAAGAAACAAAATGGTCCTTCCTTCTCTTTTGAGCGCTGCTCAGCCATCCCTTGGCTTTCTGTATGTTGATTGGCCTGGTTTGGTTAGTGTACAACCCTAGACCCTGGGGGGAGACATCTAGGTCCTTGCTACTCCCAGTGTTGTCTACACCATAGCAGCAGAGGCTTTATCTGTGAGCTTCTTAGAAATGCAGACTCTCCCGCCCACACCCTGCAGAGTCAGAATCTGCATATTAAAAGATCCCTAGTTGGTTGGTGTGCATATTAAAGTTTGACAATGTCTCTATCAGACCACTGCGGCTGGGAAAAGGGGTTTTTAAACTTGGCTGGGCCTGGGTCTCATTGGCATTAAAAGGAATATAGGGGTATGAAGGGCAGCTCAGCTCTACTAGAATCACAGGACTGGGCTGAGGGAATGTAAGCTGAAAGTGTAGGATTACATACATACAATACATACATACAATGCACTCTCACTGCAGTGGGAAAATGATGATTTTATCAGAAGAAGGGAATGATTTAGGATCAATCTTAATTTGAAGAAATGTTGGGGACTTCTAAGATGGTTTCTGAAGGAAAGAAACTGGAAAGAAGAGAGTGGCTGTGGATGTATTTTCTATGTTGTACATACATGTTAATTTCAGGGTCTTCTTTTCAAGATAAACTTCTGAGTTTCAGAGTGAAGTAAATAAGTGGACCAAATTTCATAACTCTGAATACTTGCCTGAGAAAAATATTTTATTTCTATAATGGACTTTTGTTATCTTTATTAGCTACCTAGCACATGATCCCTCCTTATAGTCTGGGAATTCTCTATTTTATGTGACCTTCTGGGAGGCATAGGCTGCTTTCTACTCTAGGAGGAAAATATCAGCGCAGTCACTCACTGACTTTTTGGCTTACTGTTCAGCTGTCACTGTTTGGAAGTTCCCAGTAAAAGTTTAACAAAGAGGGACACCTGGGTGGCTCAGTCTGTTGCGCTCAGGTCCTGATCTCACGGTTTGTGAGTTCTAGCCCCACGTAGGCTCTGTGCTGACTGCTGAGAGCCTGGAGCCTGCTTCAGATTCTGTGTCTCCCCCTCTCTCTCGCCCTCCGCTGCTCATTCTCTGTCTGTCTCCCCAAAATAACTAAGCATTAAAAAAATTATAATGGGGCTCACAAATTATGTGCCTGGTCCTGCTTGTACCTAATAATGCTAACTGATAATGCTTCTTTTTTCCTATAATACAAGTTACTCAGATCGGAGGACTAAACTTTGTTTCTAATATCTTCTGACCCAGTTTAGGCATCTTGATCTGACTAACTTGTGTTTTGGAAAAAGAAATATGATCAGTCAACATTATTCCCATATATTACGTTTGGGGCAGTTATAATCTTCCCATGTGCTGTAATTATTTGTGCATCCATATCATGTCTTATATTACATTGGGGATTTCTGCGAGTACAAATCCTATTCCTCCAGCATGATATCCCTCTCTATTATCTATGTATGTATGTTTGCATCTATCAATCATCTATCCATGTATCTACCTACCTATTTATAGTTGAGCAGCCTGTTTTTTTTTTTTACAAATAGTTTATTGTCAAATTAGTTTCCACATAACACTCAGTGCTCATCCCCACAAGTGCCCTCCTCCATGCCCATCCCCCCTCTCCCCCACATCCATCAGTCCTCAGTTTTTGTCAGCATTCAAGAGTCTCTCATGGTTTGCCTCTCTCCCTTTCCCCCACCATTTCCCTCCTTCTTCTCCCCCTTGTTCCTCAGTTAAGTTCCTCCTAATCCTCCTATATATGCAAACATATGTTATTTGTCCTTCTCTGCCTGACTTATTTCGCTCAGCATAACACCCTCAAGGTCCATCCATGTTGCTACACATGGCCAGATTTCATTGTTTCTCATTGCCATGTAGTATTCCATGGTATAGATAAACCACATCTTCTTGATCCATTCGTCTGTTGATGGACACTTAGGATCTTTCTATGTTTTAGCTATTGTTGAGAGTTGAGCAGCCTGTTTTTAATAATATAGTCTGATTCAAACCTTATCTAAGCCCTTTAAGTGTTGCTGTTGTTGCTTTTGTTGTTGTTATTATTATATTATTGACAACTGATTGACTGACAACAATATTATTTAACAACTGATTATTGTTAAAGGACATCGTATTGTGGTTCAGAGGCATCATATGTCCAAGCTTTTTAAGTGTAATGATGTTAGGGTTAAAATACAGGGTGATGTGAATGGTTCCTCTCTATATACGCATTACATTTTCTAAGGTGCTTCTATAATCATTTCAGGAATGAAAACTTCCATTACACAGATGAAAAAAACAGAGATTTTGACAGACTGCTCAAAGAACAGACATAATACTTAGCCAGTTCAAAGTTTGATGTGAACCTGACTCCATGCAATTTTCTATAGTGGTATTAAAAAAAATGAGCTCCATGTACAACCAAATGGTTGTGGTTTATAGATTTTCAAAACTGCCATATTTATATTAACAAATGTTCTTAAGACAGGAGGGTGGACTAGAAGATACTACCTGCTTTGTTTTATCTCTACAATTTTATTTATTTTGAAAATGTTTTTTCATGTGCCTTTTGGCTGCCACAAAATCTCTGCAAACATTGTTAAAATAGTTTCAGCTAATCTGATAATATAAATATTTTTGAAAACATAACCACCAGGAATGCTCAGTATCTGTGAGAGTTCATGGCAACAAAAATAATTATAAGAGTTATATACACAAGTCAGGTTGTTCAAGTATTTAAACAAATATTTGATTTCTCATTAGTTCTAAAGCAAATACTTCCAACGAATAATTGAAAAAATTTTCTATTTAGAAAAACACTATTATTATTATTATTATTGGTAAGAAAGTGAGATTTATGTTGGAGGGAAGCACCCTGGTAAAATGTCAATTTTCTGAAATTAAATATAATTTGAAACCTGCTATGCAATGTTTATAGAACATGACTTGTAACTCATTTAACAAGTTAGAAGCAATTGAATAGTCTCTAAGTTCCTCCACAGAAACACCTTTTGGTTTTTTTCCAGTAACTCCATGAGGATATTCGCTAGTCTCTTAAAATGAAATAATTTTGTATATTAAAAGATGTGATCTCTGTTTTAAGAAATATAGTCACTCTTTTGTTTATTTCTTTCTTCTGAGAAAGAGGGGGGGGGGTGGCAGAGAGAGAGAGATAGAGAGAGAGAGAATCCCAAGGAGGCTCCATGCTGTGAGCACAGAGCCCGACCCGGGGCTCAGTCTCCTAACAGTGAGATCATGACCTGAGCCGAAATCAAGAGTCAGAAGTTTAACCAACTGAGCCACCAGGTGCCTCAAAATATAGTCACTTTTTAATGTAATAATTTATCAGTTTTTACTATGGAGCAAAAGACTTAGGGATGATAAGCAAGACTTGCTCACAAATAAAAATCAACACCTTCCCTTACAGAAAAAGGAAAGTCATGGTTTCACTAGGCTGGAAAATCAGGAGGTGGAAAACTGCCTGGGGCAGGGGGAGGAGGGGGAGAGAGATTTACTCACCACCTGATTCTCTTCTTCCTCATGGGGAGAGATTTTGGTTAGAAGCAATGGGGTGACTCAGAAATCTGATTTAGTGTAGAGTCAGGCTGATGCCAGCACAGATTTATAGACTCACTCCTCCCTCAGCCTTTGAGCAGGCATGTAGCCTCAGAGTCTCCTTCGGCCCCACGCTCAGAAAGACCCTGTGTGTGTGCCTGCTTCAGCGCTGCACTGCTGTTATCTTGAAATTCTTGACAATTTTTGGGGCTAGGAATCTTGATTTTCGTTGTGCACTGGGCCCTGACCCATGTAGCCACAAGCCATGAGGCGGGTCCCGCCTCTGAGGCTGCTGAACCTGTCCAGCAACCTCTACGTGGAAACCCCAAACTGTTGACTCCCCAAACACTGACTTTTCATGCTCTGCACCAGTTTTCTTCCTGCCTCATCTGGTGTGAACCACCTCAGGTTTCAATATGTGTTTAAAGAGTCACCTACAGCCTCACTTGTCCTTTCTCCCGGCAAAAGGTAATCCTTCACCTGTGGAAGTCTCATCATTTTTTAAAATGTTTATTTATTTATTTTGAGAGGAGGGAGTGGGTCAAGAGGGGCAGAGAGAGGGAGAGAGAGAATCCCAAGCAGGCTCTGTGCTGACAGTGAGACGCCCCTATGGAAGAAGTCTCATCTTGTCTCTTCTCCAGAACCTGTTCCAGTGATTATTATTCTCTCCTAGGTCTTCAACCTTTCTTTATTGGTTCTTTCTCTGAAACCTATGGACACATGTTACTTTCAAGGCCCTGGGAAACCGGTTTAACTCCCAGACAACTTCCAGAGTGTCCATCTGTCCAATGGAAGCAAATCCTTGCTGGGTCCAAAGGTGTGGATGTAGCTCTTCCTCAGCTGTGGTCACAGTGTCAGTGCTGGAGCCCGGATGTGGTTCCCTACTCCAGCTCTGTTGTTTACTAGCTGTGTGGCCCAAAGCAAGTTACTTAACTTCTCCATGCCACCATTTTCTTATGAAAAATGAAGATGATAATAGTACCTACTTCAAAGGGCTGTAGGGGAGCAAAATTAAATGTGTTTAGAATCATTTCTGGCAGGGGCTTCTGGGTGGCTCAGTCGGTTGAGCATCCAACTCTTGGTTTTGGCTTCCGTCATGATCTTGAGGCTTGTGAGTTCAAGTCCTGCCTTGGCCTCTGAGCTGACAGCACACACCCTGCTTGGGATTCTCTCTCTCTCTCTCTCTCTCTCTCTCTCTCTCTCCCTCTCTCTGCCCCTCCCCTACTCATGCTCGTTCTCCCCCCCAATAAATAAATAAACTTAAAAGAAAAAAGAACCATTTGTGACATACAGTAAACACTATCTAGACATTTCTAATTATTACCCTGTCTTCCTTCAGCTCTGCTCTATCTCCTGGCTCTTCCTTCACATTACTGAAGTGTAATGATGGTTGGGGGCAAACAATACTGTTCTGCTTGTCGAAGAAATTACTAGACATTTGGAAATAAGTGGAAAAGACAGGCCCGGGTCTTTTCAGTGTCCGACCTGTTGCGTTCAGCCTTCGTCTTTAGTTGTCAAATCTGGAAAACAGGAAAGATAGCATTCGGCACCCTGCATCCTCTTCTTCCAACTTACAATTAAGTGAAAACTAAAACATTGTTATAAACACTGCCATATAAAGGCTTAGCATAGCAGTCTGTAGCATCTTCTTCAGAGGGCTGTTTGGGAATTGCTTTGTCTGTGTATTACCAAAGGGACAGCGTTTTCCTCTAGCCTGCCTCAACAGGGGACGATGAAGGTAACGAAATTTTAGCCTCAAAACTTGAAAATGTCAGCATCTTCCAAATCCCTGTTCCATCACAAACTAAAGTTCAGATTCATTGCATATGCTGTTA